GACAGATAGGCATCTCGACTGCCAGAATTCACTCGTACTTAAATATCAGCACCTAAATTTATTAGACAGAATTATCTACTAGTTGATGCGATAACACATGCGATGATGAAAATATCATATTTAATCATTCTTTCCGAAGAGGATATACCGATAATAATCTAAACCCGTCACCACACCCCAACTCTTCTTTTGCGTCATCCCCTTTTTGGTGGTATCAGAAAGTATCATAACGACATCATTCGAAGTGAGATATGCACCCGCACAGTTTTGCAAAACACCATGATGACAAGACAGTTCAATTAATCAAATTGCGCTGTTGAAACTTACGGATACATTGAATCTAATATTCACATGTATTTCCCCGACAAAAAATGAAGAAAAAAAAAATATATATATATATTTAAAGCAAACCAAGTGGATGAACTGCTACATATATTACACCAGTTTCATCGGCATTCTTTTATTCTTTTTATAAGACAATTGGTGTTTTATTTCAGTGGTGTGATGCCATTTTTTATTGATCCATTTATTATCGTATTTATTTTTTTAATTGGCATATGAACACCATTCGTTAAATATGCAAACATCCCCCCATCGTTACTAGCTCCGCCACATCCTTAGTCTCCCTGCATCACAACTCCCCTATGTTGTCCCTCCCCCCCCCTCCCCCCCCCCGCACATTTGTCACTGTTACTCCCTATCGGTAAATATATAATAACGTAGAGTGTGAATCATCACGTCAACACCGTAAATACCGTGACGGAAAGTGATATTTGTGCTCTTCTAACAATGATTAAATGTTTAAAGGTTAAAGTCCATTTTTATATTGATTTTCCTTAATAATGGCATTGATCTTAGTTAAACCCCTTTTTTTTTAATCCTTTGTAAAAAAAAATCAATATCCAATCTGCAGTTGGGCACTCTCTCGTCGAACAATATTAAATTTTTAAGCATAGATCAATGATATTTGTCATGTTTCCCACAATAATTACCGCAGTCTCTGTTAAAACCTATCGGTAAATATATAATTACGTACAGTGTGAAGATTCACGTCAACACTCTACCGTAAATACCGTGACGGAAAGTGATAGTTCTTTTCAATCGCATTCCAAATAACCGTTAGGAGGAATGATGATGAAAGGTTGGGTAACGATGTGGGCGCGTATCAATGCTGGTTATTAATATAGTGATTTTTCTGGGAAGAAACATTGCGAGGAAGTAATAATGGACATGAAAAGATGACCTCAAGGCTGAGTTTGAGAAATGAAGGCCTAAGTCTGGTTTTGCAATAAAAGATCAATATCCAATCTGCATGTGAATATTCTCTTTTTTAACAAGGTTATACTGATTAAATGTTTTGAAGTATGGATCAATTTTTATGACGTACCTATTTCACATTAGAATGGACTTAGTGTCAATTAAATCAAAAAGTTTTTTTTTTTTTTTTTTTTTTTTTTTTTTAGAGAGAGAGAGAGGGAGGCCTCTTTTAAAACAGAGACTTCTACAAATGAGCAGACGCATGGTTCTTGTGTTCCGGAAAACTGAAAAATATATGAATAATTAAGCAAAAAGATATATATAATAATTCTACTCGTAATTGACATTGGGAGGCTGCATTAATGGACATGAAATGCTCACCTCAAGTCTGAGTTTGAGAAATGTAGGCCTAAGTCTGGTTTCGCAAAAAAAAAAAAAAAAAGAGAGATCAATAACAGATCTGCACTCTGCTCTTTTAACAATGTTACGCTGATTAAATGTTTAAAGTGTAAATCCATTTTTATATTGATTTCCCTTAATAATGGCCTTGATCTTGGTTAAAGCCTTTTTGTATTTTTTGAGAAACCTCTGTAAGTGGGGACTTCTGCAAATATTTAGCCACGTGCTTTGTGTTCCAAAAAGCTGAAAAAATACAGGTAAATAAAAAAGCAAACCAAATAAAATTGTTTTGCTCGGAAGTAACTTTCAGTTGGGAGACATTAATTATGGACATAAGAAGATGACCCCAAAGCTGGGTTTGAGAAAAGTGGGCCTAATTCTGGTTTCGCAAAAAAAAAAAAAAAAATAAATAAATAAGTAAGTAAATCAATATCCAATCTGCAGTTGGACACTTTTAACAAAGTAACAGTGATTAAATTTATAAAGCATAGATCAACAATGTTAGTCATATTTCCTGTATAATAATGGTCTAGGTCTCATTTAAGGCCTATTGTTTTCTGAGCGACTACTTTTACAAAAGTCAATTCTACAAATATTGAGACACTGGCTTCTTGTGTTCTAAAAAGCAGAAAAATACAGGTAAATAAAAAGCAAACAAAATATAACAATTTTCCGGGTGCCATTGGTAGGCAGTGATAATGGACATGAGATGATGACCTCAAGGCTGAGTTTGAGAAGTGTAGGTCTAAATCTGGTTTGGCAATAATAGATCAATATCAGGTCAGCAATAGAACATTCTCTTTTTTAACAATGCTACCTTGATTAAATGTTTTTAAAGCATGGATCAATTTTTATGACGTACGTATTTCACATTAGAATGGTCTTAGTGTCAATTAATACCTACTGTTTTTTTGAGAAGCCTCTTTTCAAACATGGATTTCTACAAATATTTAGACACAGATTTCTCGTGTTCCAAAAAGTTGACAAAATATTTAGACATATAAAGAAGCAAACCAAATATAATGATTCTTCTGGGAAGTAACATAGGCAGGAAGTAATTCTAGACATAAGAAGATGAACTGAAAGGCTGAGTTTGAGAAATGAAGGCCTAAGCCTTGTTTCGCAAAAAATAAATCATTTCCAATCTGCAATTGGGCACTCCCTCTTCTTACAATGTTATAATTATTAAATGTTTAAAGCACATATCAATAATTTCTGTCATATTTCCCATAATAATGACCTCGGTCTCTGTTTAAGCCTTTTTTTAACGGACACTTTTACAAAAGGCACTTGTACAAATATTCAGACCGGGCTTCTTGTGTTTCAAAAAGCAGAAAATTTATATAAAAAGCAAGCCAAATATAATGATTTTTCTGGGAAGTAACATTGCAAGGAAGTATTAATGGCCATAAAAAGATGACCCCAAGGCTGAGTTTGAGAAATGTAGGCCTAAGTCTCGTTTTGCATAAAAAAGGTCAATATCCAATCTGCATGTGAACATTCTCTTTTTTAACAATGCTATATTGATTAAATGTTTTTAAATCATGGATCAATTTTTTATGACGTACGTATTTCACATTACAATGGCCTTAGTGTCAATTAAAAACCAAATGTTGTTTTTTTATTAATTAATTAATTTTAAAACAGGGACTGCTACAAATGTGTAGACGCATGCTTCTTGTGTTCTGGAAAACTGAAAAAAATATAAATATATAAGCAAAAAAAATAATAAAATAATGGTTTTGCTGGGAAGTGACATTGACAGGCAGAAATAACGGACATGAAATGCTGGCCTCAAGGCAGAATTTGAGAAATGTAGGCCTAAGTCTGGTTTCGCAAAAAAAAAAAAAATTCTAACTCTTATCTGCCCGTGGACTCTGCTCTTCTAAAAATGCTACACTGATTAAATGTTTAAAGTGTATGTCCATTTTTATATCGTATTCCCCTTACTAATGGCCTTGATCTTAGTTACAGCCTACTGTTTTTTTACGAACCCTTGTAAATGTGAACTTCTACAAATATTTAAACACAGGCATCTTGTGTTCAAAAAAGCTGAAAAAAATACAGGTTAATAAAAAAAGCAAACCAAATATAATGGTTTTGCTCGGAAGTAACTTTGGGAGAAAGTAATCATGACCATAAGAAGATGACCCAAAGCGGAGTTTGAGGAAAGTGGACCTAATTCTGGTTTCGCAAAAAAAAAAAAAAAAAAAAAAAAAAAAAAAAAAAAAAAAAAAAAAAAAAATCAACGTTGGGCACTCTCTCTTTGAACAATGTAACAATGATTAAATGTTTAAAGCATAGATCAATGATGTTTGTCATATTTCCCATAATAATTGCCGCAGTCACTCTTAAAGCATATCGGTAAATATATGATAACGTACAGTGTGGAGATTCACGTTAACACTCAACCGTAAATTCCGTGACCGAAAGTGATATTTCCTTTCAATCGCACTCCAAATACCCATGAAGAGGAGTGGTGATAAGGGGTTGGATAACAATGTGGGTGCCTATCAACGCTGGTTATAAATATAGTGATTTTTCTGGGAAGTGACATTGCGAGGAAGTAATAATGGACATCAAAAGATGACCCCAAGGTTGAGATTGAGAAATGTACATGTAGGCCTAAGTCTGGTTTCGCAATAAAAGACCAATATTCAATCTGCACGGACTCTGCTCTTCTAACAATGTTACACTGATTGAATGTTAAAAACGTAGGCTAAATTTAATATCGAATTTTATATAAAGATGGTTTCAATCTCTTGTTTAAGCCTACTTCTTTTTTAATAATCCTTTTGAAACAAGGGTTTCTACAGATATTTAGCCAGGGGCGCCTTGTGTTCCCATAAGTCCAAAATTTATATAAAAATGCAATCCAAATATAACGATTTTACTGGGCAGTAATAATGGACATGAGATGATGACCTCAAGGCAGAGTTTGAAAAATGTAGGCTTAAGTCTGGTTTTGCAAAAAAAAAAATCAATATCCAATCTGCATAGAGTCTCTCTCTCTCTCTCTCTCTCTCTCGTAACAATGTTACACTGATTGGATATTCAAAGTGTGAGTCCATCTTTATATCCTTTTTCCCTTTATAACGGCCTTGATCTTAGTTCAAGTCTTTTTTGCTTTTGAGGCATAATGAACGTCATTAGGATCGTAGTGCATGACCGTAACTTGAAGGTGTCCCATCGCGATGTATCGATCTATTTTCCTTTCACGGTAAACAAGTACATGCATAGCTGCTTTCATTTGACGTCTGTAAATACCTCTAAGGTTTTAACAGGTGAGGCGTATTGTGACTTTCACATTTCTCGTTGACTGATGTCTGTGGGACGCTACGAAAATGTCGTCCTCTGGGTGCTCTGTGATATTTTCGATGCTCGTCGTGGGAATTATTCTGAAAGGTAAGGCGTTTAGGTTCTGAAATAGCGTAGAAAATTTCTTTTTTCTTCTAATAACTCTTAAATGATTATTCGATTGTTCAACTTGTATTTTTCGCTAGTTGGAATTAACCAAAAAAAAAGTCATCTTTTACAAGTACAGGACAAACAAATATAATATATCCTTTAATTATCATGGGCCTTAATCCGGGTGAACTTCCCGGTCGCAATGCCCAGAGAGATCTTTCTCGTATTCTGTCATTTTTACACATTTTTCTGGATTCTGTCGGATTGAGAATTCGTTTAAGTCGGGAGCAAAGTGATGTTAAAACAGAGGTATAACATGCGCCACGTTTCGTCAGGAAAACATAAACAGAGTAGACGAGTGCAATTTTACTGAATTACTCAGAATACAGAGATGGACATCGCTTGGGTTTGTGTTGGCTTGTTATAGCGATTTTTGGGAGAAGGAAGGGGAGATAATTCGGTACATACATGGATGAAGGCAAACAGGATACGGTAGAAGGGTGGGGGGAGGGTAAGTGAATTCGCTATATGGATAGCATGGAAGTCCCAAGATAACGAAGTGAGTGTTGTGTGCTTTATCTTATAAATGTGACTTGGGGCAAGCATTTCTGACATAAAAATGTTGTGATAACGTGAACCGTAATTCGGAGAGCTCACAGAAAAGCTCCGCATATCGCGTCAAGAGACAGTATTGAGCAAAGTCCTCCCTCCCACGTTTCTCCACAGTTGAACAGCGAGCAGATGATACGATTTCTCAACGCAAAACTATTTTTTACTCAATGACTCCCCCCGCCGCAGAAACACACGCAAGTGAGTACCTTAAATATACATGTGCCTGGCGATAAGCATCTCGACTACCAGAATACACTCGTATTTCAACATCAACCCTTATTTATTAGACAGAAAAACACTATCTACTGGTCGAGGTGGTAACACATGCCATGATGGATTTTACATTATTTAATCATTCCCTGCGAAGGGATATAATTAAGGTAAGCCGTCCCCACATCCCAACTCTTATCTTAAGTCATCCCTTTTTTGGTAGTATCAGAAAGTATCACAACGACATTGTTCGAAGTGAGATATACGCCTGCGAAGTGTTGCAAAACACCAAGACAGTTCAATGAATTTAAGGGCGCTCGTAAAAAGTTACAGATACATCGAATCTAATACCCCCAAGTTTTCTCCAACAAACAAAGAAAAATACATAAAAAAAAACAAACCAAGTAGATAAACTACTATAACCCCTAGTATCATCGGCATTCTTTTTTTTTTATTAAAGATTTGCCATTCTATTTCAGTTATTTTTTATTTATTAATTTTTTACATCACATTTAAAGAAATTGGCGTCTGAGCATCATTCATTAAACATGCAAACATCCCCCATAGTTACTCCTCCACATCCTTACTCTCCCGGCAACACAACTTCCCCCGTGTCGTTTCTCTCCCCCCCCCCCCCCCCCCCCCCACCCCCACCCCCCCCTCCCCCCCCCCCCCCCCACACACACACACACACACAAACCTCCCACCCCTGCACAGTTGCCACTGTTACTCCCTATCGGTAAATATATAATAACGTACAGTGTGACTCTTCACGTCAACACTCCACAATAAAATACCGTGATCGAAAGTGATATTTCTTTTCGATCGCACTCCAAATAACCATGAAGAGGTGTGGTGAAGAGGGGCTTGGTAACGATGTGGGCGCGTGTCCATGCTGGTTATTAATATAGTGATTTTGCAAGGAAGTAATAATGGACATTAAAAGCTTAAATTGATCTTAAGGCTGAGTTTGAAAAAATGTAGGCCTTAGTCTGGTTTGGCAAAAAAACAAATCAATATCCAATCTGCATGTGAGCATTCTCTTTTTTTAACAATGCTACCTTGATTAAATGTTTTTAAAGCATGGATCAGTTTTTATGACGTACGTATTTCACATTGTAATGGCCTTAGTGTCAATTAACACCTACTGTTATTTGAGAAGCCTCTTTTCAAACAATGATTTCTACAAATATTTAGACGCAGGTTTCTTGTGTTCAAAAAAGCTTAAAAACATAAGTATATTAAGAAGCAAACCAAATATAAAAAGTTTGCTCGGAAGTGGTTTTGAGAGAAAGTAATTATGAACATGAGAAAATGACCCAAAGGCTGAGTGTGAGAAAAGAGTGCCTAAGTCTGGTTTCGAAAAAAAATAAAAATCATGTAAAAATAAAAAAAATAATAATGGACCAACTCCCCCAACTTGTTTAAGAAGAATGGGACAATATCCCACAAAACAGAATTGTTACCCGTGTTGAAGGCTTGTCGCGCCGTCTACATGAAATAATTGCAGTATGCGGTAGACGCACACGCTGTTAGGCACGTGACCTTTAACGAGCACACCCTAATGCTAATTTTGTGTGAATTTGGTGACATTTGATGGCGTCTTTTCAATTTAATAGATATGTCTTTACATCTTTAGAAGTCACAGTGAAACAGTAGATTTGAGGGGGTACCTCTTATAAATTTTACTAAATGGTATAAAATGTGTATAGTTTCGCCACTATTTTGTATTTTTTTAATCATTAATCGTGTTAGACACGATATCTGTAATAAAAAACACCATTTCTAACAATTTACAGCTGTGAGGTGATCATTTGTAAATAAAAGTACATGGAAATGGGGGTGGGACAACCTTTTTGACCAATGTTGTATGGTGACAATTGGTCATTCAGGTGCAGCTTCAATAAATTAATATACCGATACCAATCATTACACGCTTAATATTCATCACTTGGGTGATTTTTAAAGTCTTTCTTATTTTCATTAATGTTTTTATTATTTGCAGGAACAAGCTGCTCATTACTAGCCTATTGGCCACTAAACGAAAATACTCAATCATTGGAAAAGAGCGGAAACGGAATCGACGCGATATTCCACAATGGCGCAACGGCCTCTTCGGCGACATCTATGGTTGACTTAGCCAGCACTGGTGCATACGTAGAGATGGCAAATGATGGGAGGTATCAGTTAAGCGGATCTTTTACAATAATGTGTACGTATATTTTTACTCGATGCACCAATTAAACACTGCCAAAGCTATTTTGTATATGTAGGAATTAATTTGACTTAGCTGTTTGCAAATGGACCAAAAATGTTTACCTACGAGTACTGTATAACACTGTAACAGTATTCGTGATGATACAGTTTCAATAGAAATTAATCAGAATCCATCGCCATGACGACGAAAACTAAAGAAATGATTCTTGTTATTGAAATGCAGGTGCTTGGATCAAAACCATCAGCATGGTTTTGGGAAGGAGAACGGCAATTCCATTAAAATAAGTAGTGCTATAGAAATGTCTCAAGGATATCGTGTTTTTTCAAACTTGCAGTACGTTTTCTTGTTTTCCTGTTTTAGTCCAGTTAAAACTTACGGGGAACGGTCAGAATGACGATTTCGTCATCTTTGATTATGACGGAGGCTTTGCGATATCCGTTGTCCAGAAGAAGTATACGGTCACCCCAGTAACGGCAAGCACACCTTGCCCAGCATATAAACAGACCACTGGTAAGAAAGGCGCCTTCTTTCACTTATAATATCTATACAACATTGGTCAAAAAGGTTGCCCCACCCCCATTTCCATGTACTTTTATTTACAAATGATCACCTCACAGCTGTAAACTGTTAAAAACAGTGTTTTTTATTACAGATACCGTGTCTAACATTATTATTGGTTAAAAAAATACAAAATAGTGGTGAAAATATACACATCTTATACCATTTAGTAAAATTTATGAGGTACCCCCTCAAATCCAAAAGAAATGTCTATAAAATTGAAAAGACGCCATCAAATGTCACCAAATTCCCACACAATTAGCAATAGGGTGTGCTCGTTAAAGGTCACGTGCCCAACAGCGTCTACCGCGTAATGCAATTATCTCCTGTAGACGGCGGGACAAGCCTTCAACATGGGTAACAATTTTGTTATGGGGGATATTGTCTCATTCATCCTAAAGAGCGTGGCGGAATTGGTCAAGATTATTTGGGAATTGGTTCTCCTCTGCAATGCACATTCCAATTCATGCCACAAGTGCTCAGTAGGATTTATATCAGGACTCAAAGACGGTTGTCCCATCCTCAGAGCCCTGTGTTTCTGCAACAAACTGTTTGCCTGACAAGAACTGTGAGCAAGCGCGTTGTCACAGTGAAGCCAGTAGTATATCTGAAGTTACATCTTGCAAATGGAGTGAGATTTCTGTTGAGAATGTTACATTAAAATGCCCCCGTTACGTTTTGTTCCAAAAGGAACAATGTACTAATACCAACCAACCTTTTTGACCAATGTTATATATAAACTTATGAGATAAGATGTAAATAGTTTTGAAGGAGACAAAACGCAATTCATAAAAACGTCATTTACTTTCTTTAAAGACGAATTACTTTTTATAAGTAAAAACATTAGATATGTATATGTCAGTATTCATGAAGTCATGCTCATTAATCCTACTGCATTAAGTGACCTACATGTATTTAGGAGACAAAAATAACAGGAGGTTTACATCTGTGAAAAAAGACTATAATCGTCTAGCATTTGCACACACACCAGGAAAGGTATGTATAGAATTATTATACGTGCGTCACAATTTAGAGGGTGGATAAAAAGTGTGACATATAATTGGTGCCAAAGCAATAATGGTTTTGACAAATTGTTTTGTTGTTGCAATATACATGAATCATTTTAGGCAACACCGTCGATTTGTCGACGAACTTGTGGTTTGCGGTCACATATGACATGTCTAGTCAAGACATGGTCGTGTACTATGACACTATACACCCCGATAATTCGATGACACACACCGGGGTGCCCGGTCCTGTACAATCATCGGGGAACATACGGCTTGGTGAGTTTGATTGTATTGTATTGTATTGTAATGTATTGTATTGGTTTTTCCTTCCCTTTATTTTTATTATTATTATTTTTTTTTTTTGCGTTGCGTTGCGTTGTATTGTGTTGCGATGTGTTGTGTTGTATAGTATTGTAATAATAATAATAATAATAATAATAATATAGATAAAATTGCAACCGTAAGGTTAAAGTTGTATAAAGTATGTTAAAAAGAAAATTGACAATAAACTTTAAATTAAAAAACAATAAAATACTCCTAAAATACTACAAATTAAAAAGACGTTCCTAAATAACTACAAATTAACAAGGCAATAGTTGATAAAGGAATTTCTAAAAGGTTCAGTCTTCACTTTTGATTGTAAAAAACTGGTGTTGTTTTGTAAAGAACGGGTGTTTCTTTCGAGCAATAAATGTCCCAACTTATCACAATTTTGTTATTTTATATAAAACCTCTGATACAGCAAATGTCTACGTTTGTCTGGGGTGTCAATGTTACAAACTTGAAAGGCATCATCATAGCTGAGGCCATGACAAATGATCCTCAAGGCTCTCTTTTGAACTTACTCTATAGACATTCAGATTGCTCAGCAGTCAGAACTGGTCCCCACACTGGACACGCATATTCTAAAACTGATCTTAGTACAGTCTGGTAGATAGTTAATAAATCTTGTATGTCCAGTTTTGCCATCTTTAGCTGTCTGAGATAAAGGAGCTTTAAACATGCTTTAGCATACATGGTTTGGATGTGCTTGGTCCACTTAAGGTCTGGGATTAAAATAACTCCAAGTGTCTTCACCTTTTTGACCTTTTCTACACATTCCTCATCTAATTCCAATTTCTGTATCGAAGATTACAGTTCTTGGTAAAATTTATATCCATCGACTTGGTCTTCCTTACAGTGAGTTATATGCATGCATTTTCCTTCACAATCCTTTTTGAATATTCAAATTTTGCTGTCCAGCAGAGTCTTGAAGTGTTTATAAAATCTTTGTTGAAAATGACTGCTTTACTACAGTGTATCAATAAGGAAATGTGAACATTCATAAAATTAAAGAGCCCAGGACTGACTGCTTGTTAGCGCACTCGACCTTAACCCCTATTTGAATTTGTATTGCATTGTATTGTATTGTATTGTGTTGTGTTGTGTTCTGTTGCGTTGTGTTGCATGGCGTTGCATTTACTAGCGTAACGTTGCATTGTTTTGTATTGTGTTGTATTGTATTACATTGCATTGCATTGGTTTATATTACATTGTATTGTGTTGCACCTGTGGTAGAATTCAAGACCACGTATCATATTTCCTCTCATTATACTTTATTCTTCGCAGTACATACGGAAATGCTTTAATAATTTATAATTGTATATTATATATTTTGGTCAGAATCACTTGACTGTAATTGAACAATTCAAAGTAGATCCGTGAACGTACTATTACTTTGCACTGTGTTGTAAAGCAATTTATGGGAGAAGTAAAGCAGACATTGAAGAATGGCCAATTGCCTTGTTTCAGCGATTCTTTTTTCTTCTACTTCAATGATTTAAATGGTTCTGAGTCGGAGTCTTGAGGTTTGTGTTGTGTCATACGCTTCTATTCATATCCCAGGCAAGCAGTATGCTGGAAGCTGTGGGTCCGTTCCAAACAACAATCGCATGATGGGTTCTATCAGCTGTCTTCACATATTCGACCAAGTCCTCACGACGGCTGACTTGAATACTTTTGGCACCAACTGCTTGAACCAGGACTATTCTGGTAAGATGTTTTTTTTTTTTTTCGCAACTTTATCAAACAAACACAGAACATTTCAAAACGTTAGCATAATTATCGTAATGTTTTTGTTTTTTTTTTCTATATGAACGTTATTATATCGTTATAATAACGTTCTATATTTGCAGGGTACTTAAATGCAAAATATTTTTTATCGTCATGGCCACATTTTGATGTCCAGTGAAAAAAGAAATAGACCCACGTAATTGCAACTTTTTTCTGGTTATTGCAATGCATGTACATTTTAAAAAGATACACTTGAAAACATTTATCATTTATTTATTCATTCCCTTGTTTATTTGATTGTCTGTTGGTTTATTTATTTACTTAATAACTTGTTCATCTATTTATTTATTGACATGCCGCCTAAGTAACAAGACAATTTTTTTATGACGAGCTCCTATTTTTTAAAAGACATTGGAATACTGCCTTTAATTATACTGTATGAACGTTTCCATTACAGTTCTTACTTTCGTGGTGCCCTTCGCTCTTCGTATGTACTTTATGTCCCAGTATTTTTCTCTGTTATAACAAAAATACTGCATATCGTATGAATAATTTCCAACTTGAAAGCAAACAAAATCTTTTACTGAAGTTAATGCCCAAATGCAGTGAAATACTAAAAAAATACTCAAATTTTTATACATGTATTATTGACAATATATTTTAATACGAAATGCACAATACCGAACTTTTATTAGTGTACCAGTAAATGGGGATCAATAAATGAGTTAGTAATTCAAGTCTTGTTACCATTTAGGTAATAGATATTGTCACTTTTGTAATTAATTATGTCAAGCGTGTTATGGCTTATGTCATTATTGCTTTTTTGACCAGCTTTACCTCCGCCGATCACAACAACGCCTTCAACAACACCACCAACAACAACCGAGGCAATAACAACGTCAACAACAACAGAGGCAACAACAAGGTCAACAACAACAGAGGCAACAACAACAACTGAAGCAGTGACAACAACTAGAACAACGGAGGCAACAACAACAACCACAATAGCAGAGGCAACAACGACAACAACCGAGATTACAACAACCCAGCCTGTTTCAACAACCACATCTGGGGCAACGGCAGTGGGCACCACAACAAGTGCTGGGGGTAGGCCTATTAGCGTACAATTACGAGGATCACAGCCATTTATCTTCATTTAAACTTTCAAATGAATAATAACTCTTCGTATGAGATCTATATTTCACAATAAAAACATTGTAAATAACTCATAGAAATATAATATATTCGGTTTTACCACAAAAACGGCAGTAATAGACATTATTCTGATATCTGAGCTTGTCATCAGACCAATTGACCGCCATAGATGGCTTAACTCTGAAATTATCTCTTAAGAGACTACAACATAAAAGCAACCTAAAAAAAACAGGGACTAACTTTGAATGTAGAAATGAATCCGTTCACTATTGGTTAATATTGGAACAATTTTGTTTACTATGGGAAAATTCAATTTTAGTATGGTGCATACTGTTTCTGGAGACCGTCTTGAATAGTTTAAGTTTTGGTTTCCTCAGTGTCTCACAAAAATACTTTTACAGGGATACATAACTCGACAAATAAAGATTAGCACATAGTTACACTCCCTTTGTTTATTTAAATCATCAATGCCAAAATCTTTATGTAATGTACAGTAAACATTTTTCTAAATAACAGGATCTGCAGCTGCAACGACATCGGCAGTTACAACAAATCAACCTGTTACGTCAGCAGCAGTAACAACAAATCAGCCTGTTACGTCAGCAGCAGTGACAACGGGCGTGCCTGCTACAGCAGCTAGTGGTAGGTATTTAGTAAACGTTCGTATTCAGGTATCGGAAGCGCAACTCATTTGAAAAATACCAATCAGTCATTTTACAGACTGTTTTATCAGAGACTCACCACAAATAAGCTCTGTAGAGCTACACCTTGCAGGCAAACGCATTTTGCAAACGCAGCACATCTTGCAACCAAATAAACATGCGAATTACGCATTTTGCAACCTGGAAAACTTCTACACAACCTTTGAACTATATACATGATTTGACTGTAAGGCTACGATAAATGCACATAACGTTAACACCGCCCACCGATTGGGTTTCACTAAGCATTATTACACCTAAAAACAGTGGCTTATCCTATCCTTTTTAACATTAGGTAGTTGTAACCGGAAAGGCCGATTCAGTGCATTTTTTATTGTTTTATTTCTCTAGGTCCTCATTCTTGTAATCTCTTTAAACACATAAAGGATATACATAGGTATTATTATTATGATTATTATTATTAATATCATTATTTTGTGCGATGGTACACATCTACAACACAATGATAGTCAAAGACACCTTCCACGCACCATTCATACACTACATATGATATAAAATAAATGCGGTTTTAATGGCAATCTTTGTACCGAAGAAACAGCTTATTTTTCAACTTAAGTAAACGAAAAAATAACGTGAATTACAACCCACTTGCATATAAATGTTTTATCTACACTTTCCCTTGTCTTTCCTTTGAGGGTATTATTATTATTATTATTATTATTATTATTATTATATACAAGGATACTGCGAATATCGCTTTCTATTTGCTGCACGATAGAGTCTAGCGAGTTGTACTCATGACATGTGTACATATCAATACTCAATATTGTTTGACTTGCTAGATTTGGATTTGTCTTACCTATTTTATTTTCTTCTTTTCTTATTTGATCTTCATTTATCAAAGACGTTATCGTTTTTGATATAACTATTATAGATTTACTCAGTTAGTGCATTTATTCATATGTATGTCCTCATCTGTGTTTGCAAATGCACCTCTGTCCCCATTCTTTTACACAGTCCCGCCACAGTATATCCGTACAATGGTTTATTAAGGTCATGATCTGGCAAGTTAAAACTGTGTTTCTTTTTCGAGATCAATGTTGGATCCAACGGGCACACGATCCTTTGCCAGCTTTTGGAGTACTGCCTTCTACTCTTATACCTTTAAAATATACCAATTTTCAGGACAGGTAGATTATACCCATAGCTTTTCCATCCCTGTGCCTTACATATTATACGGGTACTGATAGAAATATTTGCCGAGTTAAGAGAGCATAAACTTTATAAAATACTTACCCCCCCCCCCCCTCCTCCACATGAACAAACCTTCATAATTTTACATATGTAGTTTTAGATTGGGACTGCATGGTGTTCACATCACGCTCTCACATGCACACTCACACGCACACACAATCACACGCACTTACATCCACGCACACAAACACACACTCACACGCACACGCACAAACACACACCCAAAAATCTCATTTTTTTACTCAAATCCCGACCATATCGTCATCAGCAATCGTCGTCAGCATCATGATACCGGTATTTAGTCCGTCCAATACCTGGGGCATCAGATAAGTTGGCGCCATGAATCAAAACACTTCATCTAATAACAAGTAACATCAATGAGAGCGATAAGCTTACGTTTTGCACTCACCTCTTTGGATTAACAGAAGCGTAAAATACTGCATTAAAGATCCAATATTTTGTGTAATTAAACACTCCTTTCTGATATAAATAGCTGAAGGACTTCATCGCCCTTTGCTTGATAACAATGAAGTCGTCAATCTTTAGAACTATATTTGTGGTATACGGTTCCAGGGGGCAACAAATGCTTGTTCGATTACTTTACGTTACACCCTCCAACTTGACTTAATTCCCATTGATTGCATTTATAATTAATGTAGATCAATATAATATCATGCCCGTGTTTCATGAATCACGTACTGGATATCGTTTTATTGAGTCCAGATGTACCAGAAAATACACAACATACACACACCATTATTTGTTTATCCAACTAGCTCGTCCCGCTTATGTACTTACCTGTAGGTCAAGCAAGGTCATGACTGTCTGCTGCAGAGTATTCAACTTTTACCTTAAAAGGAGTCAAGCATTGTAGGATTTAATACGTTGAAATATGACATTGTATTATAAGCACTATTATTGTTTATTGGTACTTAGCTCTTATTACGTCTACAACATTGATTAATATTACGTCGTTGAGCTATTTAAAGTTGCGAATAAACATTATTCCATTACAACCACCATCGTCGTTATCATCCTTATGATTATTTTTGTTGTTGTTGTCGTTGAATTTTGGATCGATCCATCCTCGGTGAGGTCATAAACGTAATACGGAGCAGTACCCTCCACCAGATTTTTCTCGATGTGTATTTATCACATTTTCGTTTACTTCAGCAATTGTAAATTTGAGTGCGTCGCGCAGCTGCTTTTAATCTATGCCGCAATGAGTTCTTCATTTATTTTTGTTTTATTTCATTTACACAGGCCCCACATCTGACAGTACTGTGTGCCCGGAGGGCTGGTCTTACGGCTTCCATGGCAGTTGCTACAAGTTTATATTCGGTGAGTCCCACACGTGGGATTATAGGCGACAGTGTGTTGACAGCGGGGGGTATCTGAATGTCATCAACGCACAAGAAGAAAAGGATCATGTCAACGATATTATTACGGTGAGTTTGAAGATACATGTATATGAATTAGATTATTAAAATAAACTAAGTGTAAAAATACTCGCCATTGTTAAAATGTTGTATAGTGCTTGGTAACGGGATTTAGTCATGTGAATACGAGTTGATAAGTGTATAAAAATAAATAAGTCATGGAAAATTTAAGTTGGTTGAGTTTTAAAATGGATTACAAATATTAATGTAATAAAATATTACCAAAATAAAATGATATTGCTGTTTTAGGGTCCCGTTTCTATTTATTTAATTTTTACTTTGACTTAACAGAGACATACCGGGGCAGCACGTTTGTTAATCATCGATCTCTTAATTTTTTAGTCAAGAAAAATTTATACAGTAAACCTTTTTATAAAATTCTAATATATACTTATAGTTCAACAGTACAGCTTCCTCAGCAAACGTATTGTGTGGGCTGTTTGATCCATCTTACAGCCTCGACTTCACTGCTGCAGATGGTTCCTTTCTTAAGTACACCAACTGGGATAGCGGAAATCCGAAAACGGCGCCGAAAGTGAAAGTAGTTTATAAAATGCTTGCTAACTGGACGCAAGTTAATACACAACTGACTTCCAATGCCGGGTCAGCTCTTTGTGAGACGAGTTACGGTAAGGATTAATTTTAAATAAGTAAATAATTATGTGCCGTATGTCTAGGATCCCGTTCACATACCTAGATCGATCTAGCAGGATCGACCCATCTCAGAGGGATTTCTCGCTAAATTGCTTTCAGCTTAAGCACCCCTGATGACTAGAACGCCTACTGAAGTTGTTATCTAAGGTGCAATTAATTATTATTTAACAGCTTCAGTAGGCATGCCAGACAACTAAGCTGCTAAAGCTGAAAGCAATTTAGCGAGAGACCCCTCGAAGATGGGTCGATCCTGTTAGATCGATCTAGGGTTGGGAAGGGGGCCTATGGCTCTCGTAGCATCCAGCGGTATGCTTTACTGGATCGGTCCACTTCGACAGGTCCTCACATGTACAGTGCACCTACGCTACAGGAGGTTTTACCTCCTTTCACAATTTCTCTGCGAGTTTGCGTCCAATTGTTAAGTTAAGGTGATCAGATGACCTTGACGAGTGCAAGGAGCTCTGCTTAGATGACCCAATTATATAAAAACAAGTAGTTTTACAACTTATTGATAAGTCTATTTGCTTGTCAATATCTCAAAATGGGCCGGTCCAGGTAAGTATACCGCTTAATGTTACAATGGCTTAGTAGAACTGTATGAGTCTCTTTTTTCTCACTATTCTCGATAAAAAGCATGATAATGAATGGAAAGTATTAAGGGCATTTAAATAATTATTGCAATCAATCATGCCCTGCATAAAAAATCTTTATCAAAGGTTAAAAGAAAACCATCAATAAATAGATATGACTGTTTTGGATTTTTTATATCCTGGCTTCTTCTGCGCGTTATAAGAAACCTAGGGAATAATTGACTTATACGCTGAATGCACACGCAAACACGGGTCATATGAAATGCTCAACCAATGGCTGAACATACTCCATTTTTCTTAGGTTTCGATGGCTGTTACACCAAGCCGTCGTCCTACCAGGCAAAAGTTTTGCACCCAAGGCTCATGAACAGTTTACTGTGCATAGAATACTGCAGAGGTATGTTGGCTTCTTTATCATTGAAAAAATCCGACATCATCATTTGTTACAGAAAAAATATAGAACTTATATATAGTTTTGGATAGGATGTGCCATGGTTATAAATGTACATGAAGTTGTTGAAATATCTATGAAAACAATTATTATTATTATTATTATTATTATTATGTACAAGGTTTCAATGCGCATCGTATGAATTTTAAGCGAATATGTAATTCTTTACTGAAGGGAATGACTTGCCTTACGCCGCAGTATCCAATGATGAATGCCTGTGTGTGGATACCAAACCCACCGGAAGCCAGTCCTCCAGCGCATGCTCTCTGGGGTGCCCGTACAACCCTATGCAACACTGTGGCGGAACAAACGTGGCCAATGTGTACCTGATAGGTGATAACTCATCCATTTAAATATATCGTCTTTAAAAATATTAGATGATATCCACAAAGGTTAGATGATATCCACAACTGTGCTAAACTCCGGCTTTTGGCTATTCAGCAACAAGATTACAATGTGGACTTTTTCAACAACGTTGAATTAAACCAAAAAGAACACGCCCATTGCATTGACACGTGTAATTGTAGATGTAATGTTACTTTGCCGTGTGTCTGCAAATTTTGAAGACGGATGAACGATTATATTGTCATATTTACGGTGACACATGTACATGTAATAATTTCCTTTGTGTGTGGCGGAAGTTTTAGCTGCATTGTATATACAAAACTATAACGTATTTCGCTCAGCAGAATGAGCCCACCTTTAGTCGTGCGTTTCTGTCTATCCAGGTTACTATTATCACCGTGCACCGTCGTGTGTGGCTTTAGCATCGCAGGGGGTCCTTTTGGAAGGATATTATTGGATTAGCGAAGCAGAAGGGGCCGCATCTAGAAAAGTGCAGTGCAACCCTACAGGTCAGATTCTGTTCTCTGTATCTTATGATAAACATTGGTAGAAAATATCACGTTTTTTTTTTTTCGTGATCAATCGATACATTAATGTGTTGTTCGATACGTGAGATTTTCGCTAAAAAAAGGCATTGCAAAAGAGCAAATGTCAATTATTTATTCCTCATTCATTAACTCTTTATCTGTGCATTTGCACATTAATTTATACCCAGGGGCAACTTAATAGTCATTGGAATCCCAGTGCCGTCTATTAGCATCAATATATGTGCTCATAATTCTCTTCCTCAAATGTGGTGCGTTATCATGCATCGTAAATGAACACTAATTTTATATCCAACGTAATGAAATATTGTGTCTATATTTATATCTGTATCGTGTGTATGTATTCCATTTCAGCTCCGTGTCACACTCCATTGATCCACACCTACTCGAGTACCGTCACCATCACACATTCCAACTCAACCGACAACAATTGTACAGCTGAGAACATATTGTAAGTTTAAAAAAAGCAAAATGTGAAAGTAACATGTTTTTTACTATTATTATCATTTTTTATTATTATTACATTGTTTTTTTTTAATTCAGTACCATTGTAACCAACCGCATGCAAATCACTATTTTATGTCAATAACAACACGTAACGTGATAACAGTACTAACGAAACCAGATGCCAATAAAGAGAATGAGAAACTTTCACCTTTGTCCTCATTCCAGCCTGTATGGCCCAAGTGGCTGCTATTTTGCCAATGAAGACACCGAGCCTTGGGTCCAAGTATCCTTTGATCAGTTGTATATTATAACTGGCGTGGCAACTCAAGGTACGCGTATACTATTCAGTTTTGTAAGATTAAGTTTTTTTTTTTCAAAAAGATCTAGGTTTCTGCATGATGAACTCGGCACATGGTTCTTGGCTATTGTTTGTGTGATTTGTTGTCAGCTGGTTACGGCCAGTACTTCATCACAATTAAGCAGCAATTGTGTGTCATATTTTGGAACATTGCTTGATGGTATATGAACATTGCAATGGTATGAGGGATAGCTACTAGTAGTAACGTGGTAGAAAGACACAGTACAAGTGCGGTGTGTGCAGCCAAATACGTGCAAGGAAGACATGGCTGATGGACGTTAGAGCTTTTACTTAAATATTTTAAACAGAAGCAAGGATAGTTATTTATCGATTTTATTGTACAATTCCTTGTGTTTTAAGTTGCAATGGGTCTCTATGATATATATATATATATATATATATATATATATATATATATATATATATATATATATATATATATATATATATATTG